AACTCACGCAGGATCCTTTTCCGGTCACTTCAACGCAAGAAAGGTAGCTAAATTTCTCAAGAAACGTGTGTTCTGGGAGGGACTGCAACAAGATTTGGTGAAATGGTGTGCGGAATGTAGGAACTGTTTTTTAACAAATGACCGAACCAACAAACCGCCTCCACTGAAGCCCTTCGAAGTAGCAAAACCATTCGAAGTGATAGGTATTGACGTACTTGAGGTAGGACCCTCTTCTAGCGGAATGAAATACCTGGTCGTAGTAATCGACCACTTCTCGAAATGGCTGGGAGCGTACCCTGTTCCTTGTAAGTCAGCCGAAGAAATTGCAAAGGTAGTCTTCAAGAGATGGATCGCCGAAGGGGGGCGATGGCCGAAACGAATCCACTCCGATAGAGGAAAAGAGTTCGAAAATAGCGTTATGGATGCCCTTTGTAGGATAACAGGCATAAAGCAATCATTCACCAAAGGGTATAACCCAAGAGAAAACGGGGTGACAGAAAGGGCAAATAAGACAATCCTCCGAATGTTAAAGAAACGGGGAGGGATAGTGTCAGAGTGGGACGAAGCCGTACCACACGTAGTATACGCCTACAATATTTCACCTCACGAGGCGACGAATGAAAGCCCGTTCTTCATCTTACATGGGTTCGATCCGTATTTCCCTCCAATGTAATACCATCGGATGAACTATCACCGTACAGGATAGACATAGACGATTACAAAGCCTCACTAATGAGTGGATAAAGGTAATCCAAGAAATCGTCAGGGAAAACAACGAAGCTTACCGCAGTAGGATGAAAAAGTACTACGATAGTACCAAAGGGGTAGACCCTACCCGAGCGCCAAAAGTAGGAGATAGAGTGCTAATGCGCATGCCTACGGAAAAAGGGAAAATGAAACACCCGAAACTTACGATAGATTGGGCAGGTCCCTATAGAGTTGTAGAAGTCAGCTCGAACTCAGCGTCATTACAAAAATCAACGCAAATGAAGAGCCATTGCAAGTGCAGTTTGATTTACTACGAGTAATACCACATT